GTAAAGTAGCGTGTTCCACCAAGCTGATCAAAAAGATCGGCAATAAGAGGAATGGGGTACTTGTTTTTTATAATCACCTTATTTAACGCCCGGTAGTCAATGCACATACGCAAGGACCCGTCCTTCTTCCTCTGGAACAGCACCGGTGCGCCATATGGGGACTTCGAGGGTCGAATATAGCCCGTATCTAACAACTCCTTGAGTTGCCTTCGTAACTCCTCCAACTCTAGAGTGCCATCCGGTAGGGCACTAAAGCAGGGAGTTTAGAACCCGGTTATAGCTCGATCTTATGATCCACCTCCCTCCTAGGTGGAAGCTTCTTGGGCACCTCCTTAGGCATCACGTCTGTGTACTTGTTTAACACGGCTCGTATCTCCTTAGACACTTCTTCTTGTAGGGAAATGACTAGCTCATCATCGGGCGTCTCCATCAACGTAGCAAGATAACTAGTTTCACCCTTCCTGAAGCCCTTCTTGAACTGCATAGCTGATAAGGCTTGGGCTTCCAACTTGGCTCCTCGCTTTACTGGCACTATGCATGCTGTGTTGCCTTCCATAATACACATAGTGTTAGCAAAAGGAATGGGGAAAGCTCTCACCTTGTCTAAGAACTCCAACCCAATGACTAGTTTGAAGTTATCCATGGGTACCACCGATAGATCTATGTGGCCACCCCACTCGCCAATGTATGCTTGGACGCTGTATGCCATGCCATGTATAACCTTTGCCGCCGAGTTAACTACCTTCTTTGCTATACTTGAGGCCTAACCTCTTAGCCTCGTCAAGGCTCATAAAGTTGTGGGATGCACTCGTGTCCACCAAAACACGTGTGGGTGTCCCATTGATGCTCGCCTCCACGAACATTAGCCCCTTAGCCACCGCCTTAGGGACTTCAGTTTTAGCCTTGATGGCATTAAAGATTTGCAGTGAACCCATCTGCGCCTCCTGTTGTTGTTGTTGCTCCTCGTAGTGGCTTGTTATGGCATTGAGGGTCTTCCTCTTAGGGCAATCTCTCACCCAATGTGGCCTGTCACATATGAAACATGAGCCCTTGGGTTTGGGTGCTCCCTCCTTATTATCCCTTCCCTCTTTGCCACCATGGCCACCACTTGGCTTAAGGGACCAATCCTTGTGGGGTGCAGCGCATTTGTCTCCCCTATCTTTGCCGGCATACCTCCCCTTGTCCTTGTCTTTGTCTTTTGGCTTGGGCGAGGGTTCCTTCTTAGACCTGAAATCAATAAAGGACTCCGTTTCTGCAATAGCCGTAGCAAGGTCTTGCACGTTACGCCTCCTCAACTCCGTCTTGGCCCACAACTGCAAGCCATCCATGAAGAAGAAGAGAGAGTCCTTGTCGAATAGATCCGGATCTCAAGAGTCAAGTTAGTGAATTCTTTCATATAGTCCCGGATCGACCCAACCTGTTTTAGCCTTCGGAGTCTGCCCCTGGCTTCATCCTCGGCATTCTCAAGATAAAAATGCTTCTTAATTTCTCTTGTGAAATCAGTCCAAGTATCAATAGAGACCGTACCTTTACCCATGTCGCCATACTTCTTCCTCTACCATAACATGGCATGGTCGGTGAGGTAGAGGGTCACCGTACGTATCTTGATGGTCTCATCTGTCATGCCCGTAGCCTCAAAGTATTGCTCCATACTGAATAGGAAGTTGTCCAACTCCCTCGCTACCCGATTCCTGCCATAGCACTTAGGCTTGGGAATATCAACCCGGGGTGCTACTACCCCCGTAGTAGCTGTGCCGGACACCACCGCCAGTTTGCACAATGCTTAGTCCACTCACATTTCCTCCATTTGCTCTCGGAAAGTGCCAAGCTCCTGATCAACATAGCCACGTAGGGTGGCAAACTCGCCCAACATAAGTTCTCGAAGTGCTTGGAGCTCCTGCCGAAAGTCACCACTTAGGGCATTGAGTAACCCTTTGACAGCATTCTGGACCTCAGCGTCCTCCGACTCCAGCCCATCCATGCGCTGGTGACCATCCTCAAGCTGCTCCAACACATTAGCTATAGACCCCTCTATGTTTGCCACACGTGCCTCTAAGCCCGCCATAATGTCCTTCGACCTAGCCCTTGTCCTCACTCCGACTGGAGGGAGATTTGCTTCCCTACCACGTGCTTCCTCCTCTTGGGTGTTAGTCACGTCTAATAGCTTCGCCATAGCTTCCTCCACACAAGGTGTGACGCCTCACGACCTTAGCTCTGATACCAACAGTCACGGACTTGGACCTTTCCAAGCTTACGTGCGGCCTTAGACACTTTCAAGCCCCCCTTGAAACGCTAAGTCAGCCTACCCAAGTGTGCTAGCTTAGTGAAGACTAAGGCTAGACAAGTGCTTTGCTTACTTGGGTGTGTAGGAAGAGATTAGGCAAGTGAGCAAGAGAGTTTGGGAATATATGAACACTTGTATTATTTGAGAGGAGATTACAACTTAGGTTGCTTGATGAGGAGCAAATGAACTCCCACCTCCTATTTATAGGCCTTTGGCCTTACAAAAACAATCTAGATGTGTACAAATGTGTGGTCTAGAATAAGTGTTTAGAATCCTCCAAAGATATATCTACACAATTCTAGAACTTTCTACAATGTACAAGACAAGCCTAAAGAATTCTAGGGAATTCTATACAACTCTAGACAAGTCTAGAAAATGTTAGACAATTCCACACTAATCTAGAGAATTCTAGAATGTTCCATATTTGTGTAGAGAAGTCTAGAAAGCTCCGGTCCATGCAGGCTCCATGTCATCGTTTATTGGGCGCCTGCGTGGCGTAGCCTCTTGGTTGCGGGGCGTGACATTAGGCTTTAATTAGCCCCCATACCCTTTTTTATATTATTTTAACCCTAATATACTGATTAAGGTATATCTAAATTATTATACGTATAATAAAAAAGAGAGAGGCGACAAAAGAGCGAGAAAAGATAGAGGAATCCTAGGCCACCATTTTGGGAAGAGAAATCTGGAGAGGTTTGCAAGCACCCTTGCTATGGATTCTTAAGGCAAATCGCTACTCTTCTATTTCCTTTGGAACTTATAAGTTTCCCACATCTTTAAAATATGAATTTGTATGTTAATAACTGTTTTTTCTTTTCTTTTATTTTTTTATTTTTTATTTTTTTATTTTTTATCATGAGATTTTGATTTTAAAACTCTAAACGTTTAAGTTTTTCTGAATTCTATAAGTAGACCTATGAACATACGTTGATTCGCTGTTGTTAAACTTGTCTGAATCGTTGTTTACTTGTGATTATTTGTAATTACATGTTTAAAACTATTTTAGCTCACTGTTTTGCTTTAGTATGTGTAATTGGACTGAAACTATTAAAATTGAAGTTTATAAACCGTAGTCACGTAGAAAAATTCACGCCCAGACCGAACTCGATTGATCGAATTTAAAACTCGAACAATCAAGTGCGGCTCTAACGATCAAGTTCTAACTCACACGATGGAACCGATGGGTACATTTTAGACCCCTGAAAATATTTCTAAGTATGAAAACCTCGATCCTTAGAGTCCCAACTCGATCAATCGAGATAGGATCAATCAAGCTAAGGACTCTCACGATAGGATAGAAGCATGATAATTTTCCAAAACAATAAAATTTTACCATATCGTTTTAGTATGGATTTAATACAACACATAATACAATGCTCGGGAGTAAATACTCCGTTGCATGGAGTAAAACTCATCCATGCTGATAATTAAACCACATACCCAAACAACTCATATATTGGCAACACATGCAATGGATAAAAGTGAGACTGCGATAATTAGTCAGCCCACGGTTCACCACAATACATAACACAATTGCAATATGATTAATATCATCCCTACACATAATACAATTACAATAACCACAATACATAACACAATTGCAATATGATTAATATCATCTCTACACATAATATAATTACAATATGATTAATATCATCTACAGCACATTATATGGATTTAATTTATTCTTTCCCCTCATTAGTACCTTACTCTAAGGTCGAGCCAGGGTCCAGGAGCGGCTAAGTTGCATATTACAAGTAAAGGTTACCTCAAGGCTCATAACAATTCGCCAAAAAGACACAGAACGCTCGAGGCTGATGAGCCTTCAAGTCAAATGAAGAGGAAAAATATAAGAGGTTGTTCCATCAAAACATGCCCATTTATTCAATAAATTTTTCTTCTTCGTCTTCCTCTTGATCATCCAGTGATTCTCCGATGCGCCTCAGATGTCTGCCCACCCGGCAGCGGCTGAAGACATGGCACAAAATAAGAACAGGACCGCACTTACCATTGAAACGATGGAGAAATAGAGGAAAAACCTTGCAATCTTTGGCTTGCTATGGATTAACACAGCGCTAAATGAAGCCGAAAAGGCGAACACAATGGATATGACGAACTTCTGGAAGATAGATGGGAGGCCTTTGAAGATGATAATTGGAACTCGAGTTTTATCTATGTACTCGTAGGGAAGTAAGGGTAGCACGAAGGCTATGGCAGAGCTGATGATCAGTATACAACTTGAAATGGCGATTTCAGTACAACAGTTTGATGGAGGTGAAGAAGGCTCTTGAAACTGGGAGACAGGAAGAGGAACAACAGCAACAACAAAAGATCTTGACAAGCTCGGCTTTCTTTCCATTGATCTCTTGTTGTTCGCAACAATGGAATTCAGTCAATGGTTTGAAAGGATTCATCAGATGTCTTGACTGAACACGGCGTGATGGTTAATATTGAAGAGTCCTAGAAATTATGCAGTACCTTTCCCAGAAATTTCATTTGGACACAAAGGACCTCTATTTCGGATGTGGAGTTCAATTTCATAATTATTTTTCCAACTTGCTATTGAAACTTTACTTTTAAAGTCGTCACCGAAAGTATATAAAAGTCTTTACGAAGTTGCTGGTAAATTTCCTGGCTTAATTTATTTTTTTATTTTTCAAAAAATTAATAAAACATATATAGATACTGCAAGTTGCCAAACCAGTTTGATTATAGTTCCTTTTTTAACTCCATTATTTCCATGGATTTTCCACCCCACCCGCGCAATCCATATGAAAATTGTTTGGATGAAACCTATCATTCTGGTTCATTCACTAATCCAGCGGCAAAACAGCTGAAGAGATGGAGAAGGGCCGTGATGATGATACGAGTGTGCAGCCGAGCATTCCCTTTTTTCGCTAAGACTCAGGTGTGTATTCCATTTTCTTGGCATCCAAATGGGAAATTTTCATACCGAATCGATCTTCCCATTTTTTGTTTTTTTAAGCAAAGACTGGGGTATGGGTTGACACAATTATCTTGCAAATTTGCAATAGGTGTGAATAATCTTACTTAATGGTTGGTTTTGATGAGACAATTTGTATTTTTTGGATTAATAAGTGGGTTTATTTTATTTATTTCGTATTAATAAGTAGTTTTTGACATATACGATTATTATTATATTTTTTAATAGTGACATATACGATTATTATTATATTTTTTAATAGTGACATATACGAATTTTATTCATTCAATTCAACTGTTATATTGTTAAAATATGAATTATACAAAAATGTTAGAATATTCCGCAAAGCAATTATTAATAATGATATAATGATATGGGATGATTATTATTACTTTTTTTTCCTGAAATGATATGGGATGATAGAATATTTGGTGTAAAAATAAGTTAATAGTTTACTTTAGTGGATTATTAGAGAGCACATATTTAGGTGTAAAATGTTGGAAACGGAAGATCAACAGATGAGCTTTTGTTTTGATTTTGCACAGAATGATTGCTTTGGAATACAAAAGCTAAAGTGTCATAACGGTTTTGGATCATTTCATATTTTTGATGAATTAATTCAATAAAAATTAATATTACACCCCTGAGGTTTGTAAACTATACTTTAATAATTAGTTTTGCCATTTCTTGTAAATATATATATATATAAATATAAAGATGAAATGCAAAAAATTCTCCGAATTATACCAGAATCAGCAATTAAACCTTGAAATATTAAAATTGCACCTAACCCCTTAAACTATGCATTTTTGTTGTAGTTGAGATCTCACCACCATTGACACAGTCAAGCAACACACACTATAATTTTAATTAATTTTAATGACCATAATACTCTTACAACTTTATAAGCATGAAAAGATACCAATACCCATATAAGACCATTAACCATAAAAACCTCTTAACACCCACCACATTCTTAAATCAATACGCTGATATAATACATACCATATATCACTGTTCACCATCTTCTTCACAACACTGATTAAAAAAAAAAATAAAAATTCTCCTAAACACCCAAAGTGCAAACACACCATTAGATCAAAACACACACACGCACATATATATAACTGTTCATCATCTTCTTCACAATGCACTGATTAAAAAAAATCCATGTAAACACCCAAACACACCTCTCAATCGCGCTCAATATCCGTTCGTGGGCACGAATCATCTCTATTAGTCTCGGTTTGTCGTGGTCTCCTCTCCCTCTCTCTGTCTCTGTTTTGAAACTCAAGAAATTGAAGTGGTGCACGAATCATCTCTGCTCGATGTGATCCCGAATCGGTGCACACTCATCCGAGCCGGCTCAATCAACTCGTCACCCAATCGCCGTTCCTCCTGCTCAATCACGGCCTTCCTACCCGTGTGCACAAAGAATTGCTCAAACGCCGTCGTAAAATTCGACACCGCGGCTTCGACTCGCCCCGAGTCAACACAGCCACACCATATTCGAGTACATTAAGTGAACGAGTTGACTCAGCGGCAAAACTCGTGGCGACAGAATCTTGATTTGCTCACTCTGATCAGGTTCTTCGCGAGTGAAATTCTGGTATTGCCCTTGTCGTCCTCCTCCTGAAACGCATCGTGGTAAACCCGTTCATCAGCGCCGTGGTGAGTCTAGAGCGAGTGGTCGAGTTCCAGTTTGGCGACTCGGATCGTTGCTGTTGATCGCAGTGGCGTAACCGGCTCGGAAGATGCAGTTGGTGCTGTGGTGAGTCCGGAGCGAGTGGGTGAGTTCCAGTTTGGTGATTCGGGTCGTTAGGGTTGATTGTGGCGGCATAACTGGCCCGGAATATGCAGTTGATGCCGTGGTGAAGGGCGAATGTCGCTAAACTAACTGATGGACTCGATGATGATGACGAGGGCTTGTGGGATGATATATGTGTCAGTTCAAAAGATAAGGTTGCATAGTTGTCGATTTCCTATTGATTTCAGAGATTACAATTTGCCACCTCAATTATTTAGCTAAGAAAACTAACGAAACTATGTCGTTTTAGTGAGGGTAAACGCGTCTATAAATTGGTTAAGTTCAATACTCCAAAAACTATGTCATTTTAGCAAAACCACACTAGCTTATGGGGACGGATTTGAAGTATAATTTGAGTCCAACCTATCATATAAAATGCTAAACCTAATTCCAACCCAACCTATCATAAACCTTAACTACTTAATTCAAACCAAATCCATCATTTTACTTTAAATTCGGACTTACAACTCGGACTTAAATTTTGGATAAAACCTTCATATTAAGGGTTGCTAGCACTCCAACTCTAATTAAATTCGGATTGAGATTGTTCAATACAAGCCCAACCCTAATTATAAAAATAATTGCCCAAACTCGTAAAAAAACGAGTAGAACTCATGTTAGATTCGAGTTACCTAACCAAAATTACACCCTTACATTTTACCCTATATAATTCACGTATATATTTCAAGGGTTAAGTGCACTTAACTCCACTTAAGTATACCCGTAGAACCACTATCATCCCTATTTTAAAATTTGTGCTATAAGCAGTTTACTAAATGGGCAAAAACATCCTCTCACCCTTAAAAAAAAAAATTACAACATATCTGGTTTGTCCTTTTATCTTCCAAAAATGCCCTTTTTTTGTTCTATATTTATTTTTTATTTTCTCTCTGGTTCAGTTGGGTTTTATTCATCGGAGATGAACTGAACAAAACCCAACCTCACATCCCTTCATCACCAAACAACCAAACAACGCCCAACCTCAAAGCACTTCATCACCAATAACTATAACCTTACAGCCCGCCCGTAATCACCAATAACTATAGCCGTCATTCAACATCACCCACCCCAACACACAACTGGTCTTTTTTATTTTTTCCTTCCGCAAATGGAAGAACTAGAGGAATTTGTCATTACTTCTTTAGCAATTTGTAAAGTGAGCCGAAATCCATGTGGATCATGTGATATTCATTGTGCAGATCTGTAATTACTCTTCTTCTTCATCATAATCATAATAAGGGCTTGAACCCAAAAATATAAACCCAGGTTCCTGAGTCGAATAGAAGCAAACCCAGTAAAACACCGGCGGAGGTCCGGTATACCGAGACTAAACAGCGAGGAAGCAAGGCTCGACTGAAATTGCCTCCATAAGGGGTTTCAAGAACGAATAGAACGGTGGTTTAATGATCTGCAAGGCCGTGGATGCGACGGCGTCCACACAAGCCGGCAATGGAGGAGCTTACCAAGAGAGGTGGCGAAACCAGATTGAGCTCCCGAAAACCCCCAAGCTCATACTCTCTCTCTCTCTCTAAACCTGGATTCGATTCTTTGTGATTATTAATAACCCATCATACATACATGTGCTAGTGTTTGTAGAATAATAGTGATACTCACTCACCAAACACACGAGTTACCTAACCTAATTTTTAATTAACTATTTATACCAAATATAATTAAATAAAAAATAATATTTTTTTATTTATTACATAATTGACCAATTAAAAAAATATATCTAACAACTCACTACAACTATTTGGTGCTAGAATTATTTCCCTTTGTAAAATTTAAAGGAGTTTTGTAGGGTCAATATGCCCGGTAAGCATATCAAAGGGGAGTTAAGTGCACTTAACCCATATCTCAATGAGTATTTTTAGTCACTTAACATGACTTTTATTGGATAGAAATCATTTTAAGCCCTTTAATAAGTCAATACAAAGTTAAAGAGAATAGTGTCTTTTTATATGTAAAAAATAACTTTTTGAGCGTGGATGAAAAATGGATCAAATATTTATAATATAATAATAATTAAGATATTTTTTCAATATGATATTTGACTAAAGAAATGTTATAATTAATCCAATATATTAATATACTCTTGTAAGAATCTAGATTAAATCTAATAATTTATCCAGCGGAAGTACTTTCCAACTTCATTACCCGAAACAATAATCACTACAAATACATTTTGGGCAGTGCTTTATACATATTATATTAATAATAATTTGTTCCATAGTCTAACAAATATTGATGGTGAATAAAAAATTCTATCCACTTAGAATATGGCGTTTATTTACTAGACTTTGGTGTTTTGCAAGCCTAAAGTCTGAATTTCGAGTCCCGCTGATTGTTCTTTATTGCTAACTTTTGCTGTCCGACTTACTCAACTCGGGTGGAGAAGCGTCCTTCCCTGATCCTCGAAGATTAATCGAGTTGTTGAGGGACCCTCGGGTTCGTGCCTTCCCGAATACCCGGGTTAACCAAAATAAAATAAAATAAAATAAAAAATCCTTCATGTCATAATGTGATTGGCAGTGCCATGTGGATCTTGGTAAAACTATTCCCATTTGATTGCTTTGTTTGTCTTTAATTGATTCTTATTTTGATGAAACCGGTGTCTTTTTGTAGGCCTCAATGGATGAAAGCTTACCGTATTACCGAATGAAAAAAAAAGCTGATGAAGAAAGTTGTGACAATCCATTTTATTGGAAATCAACTACTTTGCCGGGCGAGGACGAGGCATCTACTTCAAGCGGGCAGCCCTTAAGCCTGCGAACGTTGCAAATGCATGAATTCCCAGAAGAAGAAGAAGAACATTGCCAATGCCCACACTGCAAATCCCCGGACACATGGATCAGCTATCAGAGCAGCCAGTACTTGCCGCAGTCACACCATTTTTGCGAGTCCTGGACCCGTGGTGGACCCCTGCTAATGTTGCAGAGGCGTGAATTCCATGCACAGCAACATTCCCAATGCCCGCGCTGCAAATCCACCCACACATGGATCTGCTATCACAGCAGCAGCAGCCACCACTTGTCATGGTCACGTCATTTTTGCGACTCCTGCCAAAATTACTGGTACGGAGAATTTTCGAATCCCAGCATCACAGCTCTTGCAATGGGTGGTTTTCAACCTAAGATTGATCAGTATCTGGAATCAAACAGTGGGTCTCGTATTATAAGGATATCAGATCAATATCAAGGTGGCACGAGACCACTTGAGCACTCCAATGGCGCCCAACTGATCAATAATAGCATGGATCCTTCCAATGAAGTGCAGTATCGAGCTTGGGAAGCCCAACTGATCAATATCGAGCTTGAGACGCCCAATGGAAGAGGCACGTCAACTTATCCAATCAGAGGTGCTACCGCCTCATCCCAATATCCCCTGCAGTCTAATGATTCTCCGACGCAGAAGATGAAGTTGGCAATGCCGTTCCTTGCAATTGCTGGTCAAGTTGCCGCTTCTTTCATGACTACTTTGGCTAAAGATAAGTGGCCTTTCATCTTTGCTGTGGCTGCAATTGCAATTGGCTTCATTTGTGGTCTGAGTGCCATTTTTCTCCATCCTAGAAAGAAAAAGGCTGCTGCTATCCTGGAGAAAATTGGAGTCATTATTGCGGCATGTGCAATTATTGTCACGCTGTGTACGCTGATCCTTCCTGAAAACATTATCTGGGTAAGCTTTTTTGCATGTCTCATCCCATGCATTGCGCTTGCCCTGATAGTCATGAAACCCTGACTATATGGCCAAAATTAGATCCAGGGATTATGTCCCCCAACTTAAATCCAGGGATTATGTCCCAAATCATACTTAGGGGCCTATGGCCCAAATCAATTATAGGGACTATGTCCCAAATCATATCTAGGGCCTATGGCCCAAAACAACATCTGGACAGGGTGGTGGTGGAGACCTTCGGCCAGTTGGTCCTTCCTCTCAATCTGTTAGGGACAAAAAGGCATCTCATTCCCATCTTCTTCTCAAACGTTTGGATTGCAATTTTTCCCTAATTGCCTTGGAAATCTTGAGGAGGGTTGCGCTCTGGAAGGAAGATTTGTTCTTGAAGATCATATCATTGCGCTCTGGACAGATGAAGTATACCGTCGCCACTAGACTAGCACCATCTTTGAGAGCTGATTCCGGAATGACTTGGCCCTCCAGTGCAAAAAAAAAATCGCCCAATTAGAAGGTACGACATAGATAATCTCCTCTGTACCGCTAGCCACAATGGATATGGGGTTGTTGACTAAATGGGACCAAGAGGTTGGATTTTCAGGTGGGGAGAGGTATGAAAGAAAGAGTGCTTTTCATTGTGTATAGCTTTGTTGGAGAGGGAATCCATATATAGTGGGGTGTCACGATTTGTAGTGGTGAGGAGGAGGAAGATGGGAGAAAATTACGGTGGATTCATTGCTAGCTCCCAATGGGACAAGGATGAAAGCTTTGAAGCTTTATTAGGCGCAACCAGTGGAGAATTACTCGGCTGTTTACTGAAATTGTTCCCACAATTGGAACAACAGACCAGCTAGGCTTAAAACCAGAGATAGCCCAGGTCTAGCAAAGAAGATTGTTCCAAACTACCGCTCATCGTGCCTTGCTGATGCTGAGACCCATCTTCACCTCTTCTTCAAGTACAAATTCTCCTCTGAAATTTGGATGTATTTCCAACAATACTTATGTCGTATCTATGTTGAATTCAAATATCATTTGGGGGTGTGGATTGATTTGTGTTATTTTTTTTACTCTGTGTTTGAAAAAAGAAAGAAAAAAATGATAAAAAAGAAAAAGAAAAAAAAAAGAAGTATTATTTTGGAAGTTTGTGGGTATCTTCGCTGGAAATCCTCACGAGACTACAACTCGTCCTTTAGGGGTAACCTAAGGGTTCAAAGGCTTATTGCATATGCTAAATGCAATCGAGAAGACCAGCGAAAGTGAGTTTTGTTTTTATTTTTGTGTGTTTTGCTGGAGGACTAGCAAAATATATGGATTTTCAGGTGGAGAGAGGTATGAAAGAAAGAGTGTTTTTCATTGTGTATAGCTTTGTTGGAGAAGGAATCCATATATTCTGGGGTGTCAAATTTTGTAGTGGTGAGGAGGAGGAAGATGGGAGAAAATTGGAGTCACTTTTGCGGCATGTGCAATTGATCCTTCCTGGTGTAAGCGCTTTGCATGTCTCATCCCCTGCATTGCGCTTGCCCTAATCACTCTATCACACTATGTACATGCATGATCCATGCCTATCACCCCCAAAAAAAATAATAAAATAAATAAGACATGTAATTAAGTGGAGCATTTTTCCTAGTAGATCTTCTTCCTTTCCTCCAAGAAAGGTCTGTAAATATATCTGATGTAATAAAAGTTCAACTTTTGGTGTGCTATCTATCTCTCTTATAACTCAAAATATTGTGGTGTAATACAAGTTGTTGATACGATTGGCTTTATCTGGTGAAGGTGAAGGAATGAAGGGTGCAAGTGATGATGGAAACTAATTTATTTATTATTATTTTTTGGGTTGTAAACTTGTAATATGATGCGAACAATTTTTCTTGACCAGTTTATTTATTTATTTTTCCATGTTAATATTTTTGTTTTAACTCTTTTTTTCCTGAATATTGATAATGGTTATTTTTTGTTCCTCTCTCTCTCTCTCTCTCTCCCTCTATATATATATATATATTGAAACTATTAAATTCAAAGTGAAAATTTAAAACTAATATTGTTGAGTGTGCCTATGAATCTAATTTATAACCTCTTCTTAAGTTGGGATATTTATTTATTTTTTGTACTTTAATTTATCAATTTTTATAAGAGTAAAATTATAAGGAAAAAATAAAATTGTTCTTATGGGTTTCATAATTAGTTTTTCCTTAAAATCTCAGTACAATCTACTACGAACACTTTCAGTTGCATGTTACCAAACCCTCAAGTCATAGCCCTTACACAAAAATTTATATAACTTTTTCGCCAAATATTCAATTGCATAATTTACTGTTGTATGCCATGGAAAAAATATTGTATTGAGCACTTTGTTAAGCGTAATTTACTTGATTATTTATCTTCTTATCATTGAAATGGTATTTTATATTGAGCACTTGATAGCTTATCAATCAAAACCAACATACAGGCATAACTTGTATCCATATTCGCCCGGGGTTCAATGCTCTCACCAAGGCTCTGTACTTAATAGCTTCTGATACAATTAAGGTTTTTAATTTGGGGATTTGCATGTTATTGTACTTAATTGTTTCAATTGATCACATTTAGGGTTTTATAATTGGGGATTTGCATGTAATTGTACTTGTATGTTTCAATTGATCACAATTAGGGAATCTAAATTGTAACCCTAGTTGTTGGAAGTTGTCTCCTTATCCTTGCTGAATGCTGCTCGGAGTTCCAACACTACTTTATTAGCTTGTTGCGCTGTTTTTTTTCTCAGGACACTATCTCTGTTAAACTTCACTTCACTTCAAGGAGGCTGGAGGCATCATGATTTCCTTCTCTTCCTGTTGCACCTTCCCATTTTTATTGCAGTAGGCTGTAATCTATATAAGGTCAAGCCGTTCACAAATGCTGCCTAATTAAGGAAATTTTGTGAGTTTATTTCTGTTTTAAAAAAATTGATTTTAAAAATCGTAGCGCGTAGCTCTCGGACCTCTGGATCTTTGAAAAAATCTGAACCAAATGTTTCTCCTCTCCTCCAAGGAGGAGCCATAGTATATTCAGAGAGAAAAAGAGAACAAGTATTTCAGGAAGTCAATGATCGCATTACTAACATGAAAAAAGATATCTCTGATTTACAGCGGCAAATGGGGGATGCAAAAGAGGCTGTCTTGCAAGAGGATGAAGGCTATCTTGCAAGAAAGAGAGGAGAGGATGAAGGCTGTCTTGCAAGAAAAAGAGGCTCGTTTGCAAGAAAGAGAGGAGAGGATGAAGAGTGATGAGCATTTCATGGCCCAGATGGAAGCTCTTCAAATGAATTCAGATGCTCTTTTCAACCTCATTACAAAGGGAGCCACTGGAGCAGACGGAGGTATGTCTCTATCCGTGAGAGTATGAAGTCTTTCACCGTTTTTTATTTTAAACATCCAACATGCTATATATATATATATTTTTTGAAGGAACCAGTGAAGGGGTTTTTTTGGTGAAGGGTGAAGACTGAAGGGTGAAGGTGAGGGTGAAGGAATGAAGGGTGATGATGGTAAGTGTAAGTGATGATGGGAACAATTTTTTTTTTTTTGGGTTGTAACATATGATGGGAACAATTTTTCTCGACCTGTTTTTTTTCCATGTTAATATTTCTTTTGCTAAACTATTTCCGTTGATTTTTTTTCTTTAATATTTGTGTTTTAACTCTATTTTTCCTGAATATTTGATAATGGTTTTTTTTGTTCCTCTCTCTCTCTCTATATATATATTTTGCAAGTATTAAATTCAAAGTAAATATTTTAAACTAGTATTGTTATGTGCACCTATGAATCTAATTTATAACCTCTTCTTAAGTTGGGATGGGAACTATATATATATATATATATATAAATATTTTGGTGGGTTGTAAATGATGGGAACAATTTTTCTTGACCTGTTTTTTTTTTCCATGTTAATATTTTCTCTTCTGAACTATTTCTGTTGATTTTTTTTTCTTTAATATCTTTGTTTTAACTCTTTTTTTCGTAAATATTTGAAAATGGTTTTTTTTGTTCTACTCTCTCTCTCTCTCTCTCTCTCTCTCTCTCTCTCTCTCTCTCTCTCTCTCTATATATATATATATATATATATATATTTTGCAAGTATTAAATTCAAAGTGAAATTTTTAAACTAATATTGTTGAATGTGCCTATGAATCTAATCTATAACCTCTTCTTAAGTTGGGATATTCATTTTTTTTTTTTTGTACTTTAATTTATCAATTTTTATAAGAGTAAAATTATAAGGAAAAAAAATATTGTTCTTTAGGAAATAGCTAGAATTATAATAGAATTGTAACGAAGGTAATAGAAAATTAATTTTACTAAAAAATTAATTTTATATATTTTTAATTATATTTTATTTAATATAAATGACCTCTTCATAAATTAATTTTATTAAACAAATATGTTGGAAAGAATATGAAAGAGAATATAATTATAAGAAAAAAAAAAAAATTTGTCCAGCAATTGGATGCTAGATCAAGTTATTGTAGCAAAATTTTAACAGAAGTATTGTTAAGTGCGCCGAACCTAATCAATAACATTTTCGTAGGTTGGAATATACCTTTCTTCTGTACTTTAATTCATCAATTTTTATAAGAGAATAAAATTATAAAAAAAAATGAATATTGTTCTTTAGGAAATATAGTTAGAATTATAACATAATTGTTTGAATTTTAAGTTAATTATTCAATGTCAATAAGGATTAGTTTTTATAGAAATAATTAGAAGAAAATGGGTTCTGAAGATGGATTAGAAGAACTAGCATATATACACATATATAGATATACGTATGTATGTGAACAAATAAATATACACATAATTACCTATCAGATCCCAAAGAAAAGAAAGTGTGTGAACCAAAAATACAGTTTTCAACACAACCAACCTCTAAATCAGAACAAGCCCAATTGATTTTCACCTATATACACTGCATAGCACAACACAAAAACAAAATCCAAAGCTACACATATACAATTTAAGAAAGTTTAAGGACAACCCAGATGGAAAACTAACCCCACACGACAAAAACACACCATGTAATCACCATGCCTGAAACTCAATTACTTACAAGCATTACATCAAAAACGTGTACAGGCTGCAGAGAGAGAAAAAATTAGGTTCGTCAGTTCCTGAAGAGGGACGAAGAAGAATATAAGAAAGAGAAGAAGAAAAAAAGGGAAACTCAAAATTGAGAAGCCGAGATTACCTGAGAATACGCAGAAAGGGTTTGAATCGTTTGATTTATTTCCAATTGGATGAGAGAGGATTGATCTTGTGTCTAATTTGATGGGAGAGCAGTGGGGTTTGGGAGTCCCTTCGCAACCGGGACTTACAATCTGGGCTTGGAACCTTGGGCTTTGATGTTGAGTTGTAGACGGGCTTTTATTTTGTTTATTTTCTTCGTTGACCAAATACATTTAATACAAAAAATAAAAATAAAAATAAATTAGACTTGGCTAAAATTACCTATACTAACATATCAAATTATATAAAATCGTAAAAAATAAATATCAATTGGTTAAAATAAAAATTATTACAACATATACAAACACAATTATAAAAATTAGATCCACAATAACGATGATGAAATAAAGAATACATTAACAAATAAATTTAAAAATTAATAAAACTCTTTGTCTAAAAAAAAAAAAAAAAAAAAAAAATTATTGTATTTGTAACCTCTTTAGTGATTTTGTCCAAGATTAAATGTGCATTCTCTCTACAGTTGATGGCCATCGATAGCAACGATGCATGTAGGCACATTGCAGTATATGGATGCAAATGTGTGAGTAAATAAAATGTACAATTATGTAAAGTAAACGATTGTTGATAATTCATAAATCATGAAAGGAAATACTAGCCTTGGAGGAAAATCCCTATGATCATCTAATTCATCACTTTTGCCATCCCTTTACTAACTTAAATTTGACCAAACAAGAATGGAAATAATGAAAAATAATTGTGCATTAAGTTTTGATATACATAAATATGGTAGACATATAAAATCGATGGAATACTAACCTTGGAGGAAACTGCAATATTCAACATCCTCAATATCCTTATGATCATCTAATCCATCCCTTTTGTCATTATTTTAATCACTCGAATTGACCACACAAGAATGGAAATCATGAAAAATAATTAGAACGCCTACATCAAGTTCCGACCAATTTGATGTAGATATAGATACAAAATTGTTAACAACTATAATAATTTGGTGCTTTTAGTGTGATTAATTTGGTGCTTTGTAGAATTCCAAACTGAATAGGATGTAATAATCTAAGTCACATAATTCTTCTCAACGGGTGTCACTCTTATACTCCCGCTCTTACACTTCGCGCGTTATGACTCAAATTTTCACTATTTATGACTTAATTATACCGCTCTCATGCTCCCACTGTCAAATTCGCTTTTGTTCCTGCTCCCGCTTTATGTGACTTAGGTAACAATTATAATTGTTTGTAAGAAAACATTTAATATAAAGTATTTAATGAAAATTATTTTGTATTTTTGAAAAATCTAAAAACACTTTAAGAATAGTATATAGATATAGGTATAGATAAACGAATATGAACAAAGCCCTTAGTAAATTGAGCACGAATTGTTCTTTGAATGTTTGGTTTGTTTGTAGCCCTAACTTTAACACAATATATAATATTTAGAGGACAAAGGCCAACCCGAGATCAGTGGGGGCAGATGCCTCACTCAATTTTTTATATTTTTATTTTATAATTTAATTTTTAAAAAAATTTATGAAAATACCCCCACTAAAATTACAATTTGGCCCCAATGGATTCTTCTTATTTATTTATTTTTTATTTATTTTTTGCATTTTGTACTTTAAATTTTTAAAAATTTATGAACATTCCCTCACTAAAATTATAACAATACAGCTAAAATTGGGCCAGCAAGATGTCCAACTACCTCATCCACCATTGAGATAGAACAACCAATCTAGAGTTTACCTAGCAAATAAATTATATAGTACATAATTCAAATAGGGATTGCAAAAGTAAATAATGAATTACAAACGATAATTTCTTACATGTATTCAGTGGATTTAATAATATATATTAACATGAAAAAAAATGAAATGAAAATTATAATACAATAACTTGTCAATATATGGAGTTGCATATCTAATTTGTATGTATATATGAATACACTTTCTATATTAACGACGGGTTCCATAAAATGCCAGTTCAAGCAATATTAATTTCAAACTGCTGAAGATGAGGTTGGAATGGTTAGCCTCACCTGTGTTACCCTACCTCACTTCCGCACTTCGAATTTGGTTTTAATATCATCACAAATTTTAATTACAATGGGGGACTACATGGTGCCAGTTAACCGCCATTGCAATATGCTTTTATCCAAATATAATCTATATTGTTAAGTGAAATAATATAATTGTCTCAGTTCATAAATAGAAATGTAAATTATAATTATTCGTGCAAATCATTAATCGCAAATAAACATAAATTCTAAGATCTTAGAACTTCATTATTTTCACATAGTCTAAAATGCATAAATAAATAGTTATATATAAATACCTCGATCTGTAATTACAAATATCGTAGGTTTCAAGGCAAACGTCAAGATCCTTTATACGGAACGAACAATGTGATAAACTGCAAGTACATACAACAGCCAAACATGTGTTGAAACTCGTTTCTCTCTCTTAACCTTTTGCACACATAAAAACATTATACGTGCTATTTCATTAACGTACATAACTGATGAAAATATGCACTTTTATAAAGGCAGAGAGATGATCAATTTTCCTTTTAGTAACTCTAATTCCACTTTCCATCAAAGTAAGGAATCAATAAAAAACACTTCTCCAATAATTAATTACCAAAAAAGTAATTTATAAGTTGACCAAAAAATATAATATTAATCTGATATCTATTTTATTTAACCACCAAATAATAGAAGTAAATCACGTGTCTAAATCATGGGGGCCACAAATATAAGAAAATATCTTATAGTTTCCCACTTGACCCATATGATAACTTCTGTAGTGGTATAGTAAAATAGTCATTAGTGTGCACCATAAATCAGATTGACTTATTAAGTTGGTCATCATAAATACCATGGTAAATAAACTACCAATGCGAGTCATGGCGGTTATATGCATGTCCCTAAATGACACAGTCCTTTCCATGTACCACAACACTAGTAACATATTCAACATAGTTTACAAATGAGAAATATTAATAATGATCTAACAATAATGTCTTTTCCAAGACTATTCCTATTACCATTTATTAAAGCAATACGTACATATACACTAATTAATAGGAAATATCATAAATACATTTAATCAGCGCAAAATATCAAATATATATAAGTATTGTTAAGCAATCCACAATTAAAAAATAATCATCATTGACTACATTTAAGACCTGATGAGCGCTGAAAAGTATGTATTTAAACCTCTTAAGCTTGAGTGTTGTAGGACCTTTATCTATCTTATTTTCCCGTTTTAGACTAATTTCGTGTTATTTCCCTTTTTAAGTCAATAAAATTAAAACGAGCTAAAAATGGCTTCTTAAGGCCTTTTTGGAGTCAAACTAAGTCTTTGTGAGAATTTGGAGCAAAAGGAGGCTGATGCTGAAAAACTACCAAGTTGGATAGATTTAAGAAAAGTGAGATCGATCAGAGTTGGATCGATCGAACCCAGATCGATCAAAAGTTGGATCGATCGAACAAACTCTGATCGATCGAAGAAAAGTCCGATCGATCGAAAATGTGCTGGCAGTAAGCTGTCTAATTCCCGAGCGTGCCGATTTCTACCTACCACATAGTACGGGATTAGATATTTTTGGAGCTATATTTCTGACTTAATGACTAAGAAAATGACCTTCTATTTAAAGGGAAGTGACCCATTTTGTAAAAGAGCTTTTTATTATTGTATTTTTACATTGTAATTTTAATTTCTCTCTAGAAAAGTTAGAGATTAGGGTTAGAAGAAAAGAGGGAAGTGGAGGCACATCTCAAGAACCCATTTCTAGATCCACATACTCTCTATCTCTAGAGCTTCAAAGAATAAGAAGAAGATGGAGCCATGTTTGGAGCTTACCCTTGAGGGTTTCATGACCACATCTACCTCCTCCATGATTGGCTAGATCTACACTTAGGGCTTGGATGAGCCCTAAGTCTTGTGTAATCTAAACCCTTGTATTTCTATTTTTTGGGGATTTATATATATTGTTGTGATTAGTGTTCTAGCCTTGTGAATTTAATGAATCTTGGTATATTTCTATGATTTCTATGGTTTAATTCTTTCTATTAATTCTCTAGTTTATTTACATGTCTATGTGTGATTAAAATAGGAATTATTTCTTAGATGATTCATATGGATTAATTCTTTCTATTAATTATCTATTTGATTACATGTTGTATTATGTGTGATTATTTGGGGAATTGATCTCTACACTAGACTCTTTATGTTAGTTGCATGTCTATATGTAATTAATTAAGGATTTAGTGATGGCTAAGCATGGGTTTTCATTGAATGGGTTTGTAGATTAATTTGATGGATTATTCTTATGCTTGATGGGTTATTCTATAATTTAATTCATGCTTGTAGGTAAGTAGACAATCTATACTTGATTTGATATTTCATGGCTTATTATTGCAAATTTCATGATTCTCTAGATTGATGTGTGCTACAATTATAACTAGTTTGATGCATCGTGCTTAGATTTGATGGGTTATTCTACACTTAGTTTATTTGTCGGTTAGGTAGACAATTCATACAAGAATTTGATAGTCCATGCTTAATATTGCAATTCGTAGTCACATTTTGTTCACAACAATGTATTCCCCATTAATGGAAAGCAAGTAGTTAATTACATAAGCTTAGTGGTAATTCCAACACCCTAAGACCTCTCTTCATATCTCTTAAATCCCCATCTCAACTTAGTTTTATTTTAATTGTATTTTCATTAATTGAAGTAGTTTAATCATCTCATCAAATCTCTTTGCAATCTTTTGATACGCTAGAGTCGAAGTAAAATTCCAACACGTATAATCTCTGTGGACGATCCCTACTCGTTATACTTTATTAGTTATAATAGTGGTTTTTATAAATGTAAATTTGATTAGAAAAGTTTCCAAAACTACATTCATATTTTGACCTTGCGAAACGACCTCTCGCATTAAAAAGTCTCGTTTTCTAAACGCATTAGAAAGAGGCTCGTCAAGACCAATTCTTTCAACATGTTTTATAAATGTCTTGAGTGGTAGTCCATTCGTTAATGGATTGCAATAATAAGTTGTGTGCTTATATGTTCAATAGACATTTGTTATTTCTAAACATTTTCGTTAATGATAAAATATTTCAACTTTAAAATACCTATCATTTTTCATACAAGAAGATCAACAATTACAACAAAACTTTTCAACAATCTGAAAATGGTACCCATAACTCTGAGTCCTAAAATAAATTCCGCAATCATAAATTGTAGTTTCAAAGCATGCTACAAATTAAAAATTCAAAATAGACAAAGTAAAAATAAATTTCTTTATACTTTTTCATAATATTGTTCCTCCAGCCAAAAGGAACAAATAACCAATTATGAATTAATAATTATCCACATATACATAAAAATGTCTTCCTAAGTGTGAGCATATAATCTTTTATCCCCTAACAACTTGTATATACATCAAACTCCACAATATATACATAAGGAATATTTTTCGTTTCTTTACATTCTAGCTAACTCATTCTTTGGGAGTGCATTAG